CCTCAACTTCCTATGGGACCAGAGAACGCTTGGGCGGGAGGTGTCCCTGTCCTGCCAACTGGGAGGCAGGAGGAGGTGAGGGTGCCCATTCCCATCCCAACGGATAAGAGGGTGGCTGGCCGCCCTCCCTCCTGAGTCTCTGAAGAGAAATGCCAGGGCACTTAGTTCTCTGGCCCCTAGTCCTCATCCCCAGAACACTTCTGTTCCATGGTATTTTCTAATGTCACCTGGTCCGAAACTGACATTTTGAGAAGGACCTTTTGCTCGGGCACGTGACCCAGTCCTTAGCTCGGAGCCTTGGCCATGAGTACGTTGTTAGTGTGTGCTGTTTGAATGAAGGATCCCAGAGGTGTCAGAATTCTCCATGTTCGGCTTCTGTATCCCTGCCTGTATATCTGAGAAATATCGATGTATTTCTCAGCAGCTGCAGAAACCCTGACTTTTCTTGAAGCAAGGATCAGCTGACGAGTGGATGAAGAGGTGGCTTCTATGCACAGCCAGGCACCGTTCTATGCGAGCACAGGAGGAAGTCTTGTAGTACCCCAAGCGGGGGTGGGGGGTGAACCTAAGCGCAATAAGCAAGTCACAGAAACCGCAAACATTCCGTTCCTGCATAGGAGGAGGTGAGCAGGTATCAGACCATAGGGCGGCAGCTACCTGAACGGAAGGAGAGAAAGAATGAGTTGTTTGATGAGGTCACGTTGCAAAGTGAAAAATTCTACAGCTCTGTCACAGACTGCACGTAGCTCACAGTAGTGTATTGAGGAGGGCATTCTTTTTTTTTTTTTAAACCACAAGAATAACAGTAGCATCAGGAACTACTACTTTACAGCACAGCCTTGAGTCTTCGTGGAAAATTCACAAGCCAGAGGTCACCTTTGACCAAGTGTTTTGACCCTGGGCTCAAAACTTTCTATGCATTGTGCATAGGAACTTTCTGTACTGATCAAACGTTTGTATCCGGGCTGATGCTCTGTAGAGTGCTGAGGGGTGATCCTAGGTGAATACCCATGTCCTAATCCCCCAAACCTGAACAACAGTATCTTATATGGAAAGAGACATGCTTAAGTGAGAGGAAGATAAATTGATCCTGATTATCCAAGTGGGATGCCTGATAAGAGCAAGATGGAGGGAGTTCTGTGATAGGAGTGGACACAAAGACCCAGTCTGTGAGGTGCGGTGATGAGACTGCAGCCAAGAGCCAGAAGAGGCTGAAGCCAGAAGGGCCTGTAACTCCACAAAAAATGTTTGCATCTTATTTAGTAGGCTACAGAGAGACACTGCAGGTTACTAAGCAGGTAAACATCACTATATTTGATTTGTGAAAAGCTAAATTCTAGCACTCTGAGTGACAGGGGTTGTAGATGTGGGTGTGGGAGTGTATAGTCACAGGTTAGAAATGCAGGTATCATTTACAGTATCTGTGGGCTGGCAGGGGAGACAGGACAGGACATCACAGATGAATCTGCGTAGGCCTGTAATTAGAGTGCATCCTGCATAGCCTTTAGTCCAGCCACTTCCCTGTGTAGGGCTTGAAGGAGGCTTCAGGGAGGAGTGCTCCCATCAGGCAGTGGGCAGGGATTGCATGGCACACACCCAAAAAAGGAAACAGGCTGGGCCAGACAGGCAGTGATGGAGGCATTTGGAGAGGGGTGAAAGGCAGAGCTTGTAGAGGCATCGGTCAGGAGAGGAGTTGGCCGAGGACAGCCGTAAGTGCTTGACCAAAGTATCCTCTTGAGGACACAGGAGATGGGGTAAGATCTTGAGCATGGAGAAAGTGCTGGAATGGGGGTCTGGTTGGGGTGGGCTCTGGCTTTGTCTAGGGATGAGTGTTTAGACAGATGGAGTTTTTTTGGGGGGGTTTGGATTCAGAGGATTAAGTGAAATATGAGCTTTGCAGGTTTCTTTCTAAGCTGTAATAAATACACATAACATACAAGTGTTCACACTTTTTAAAATGAACCTATTGAACAATCACTTCCCCCAGCCCCTCAGTCCTTGAGCCACCATCTTATATATTTCTAAAATTCTTACAGGTTTCTAAGAGTTTTATTGGCTCAGTCAACTTGTGTGAAGGAATTGTGGAATATCTGGGGTCTTTCTTTGTGGCTTAGTTATTACACATACGTTTACTTGTATCATAGCGATTACAAAATTTCCTTCTCTTTTACTTCACTATGATGAATAAACCCCTGTGGCATTTTGTAAACTCTCAATGTTGTATAACTATCGTGTTTCCCTTGTGCCGCTGTTGTTAAGCAGCCAATCCATACCCCATTTCTCTGCTCCCAGAGTCCTATTCTGGAAATTCAGTACAAACGGAATCCTGTGGGTTTTTTTTTGTGCCTGAAGGACCAGACTCTTCCATAGCAGTAAAGTTAATTTTAGGCTGTCTGTTTCTAGATCATATGCAATCTTAGAGTTTATCATCCTGAATGGGTTCCAGACTAGTCTATAGAAAAGATACCAGAGTTAAAAACAGACCAGGTAGATGTTAAGTCAACCAAGCACTTACTGAGTATCTCTTGTGTACCAGGGATGATTGAAAACCAGGATTCTGCAGAGAAAACCCAGAACTCCTCACCAGCTCGGTCTTTCTTCCTCAGGCACACAATGAGAATGTGCACACGCCATTTCTTCCTCTTTCTTATTTTAGTTTTCATCATGACATTTTCATACATGTATATGAATATTTTGTTAACCACCCTCCATTGCTCCCCGCCACCAATCCCTTTTGTCTTACTAATTAGTCCCCCCCCCACATAATATTTTCATATCTTTTTCCTTTATTGGTGAACCGATCAGTTTAAGTAAGCTTACTTAGATGGTCACGGCTGAGGGATTATTTGCAGGAGCACCGGCAACTTAGCATAGGCTAGACCACTGAAGAAATGTCTCTCCCCTCACCTCAGCCATTAACTGCCATTAAGAGCCTCAGGGAGTGCTGACTGGTCCAATCTTGTCTTTGCACAGACAATTCTCACTGACTTTCCACTTTATCCACAAAATTGGAAACCTGTTTCCCTGGAGTTGGGGATGTTGTGAGCTCAGCAGAATGCTTTGATGAGGTTGAGCTGAGTGTGAAAGTCTTTTGGTTCCTCGGCTTTTCCTGTCCTGCTGATTCCTCCCTATTCTGTCTCCATTTTCTTCTCAGGCAAAGATATTTTCTTTCATCTTAATTACTTTTCTGCTGCTGTTATAATAATAACACTGAGACCAAGGCAGCTTATAGAAGGAAGAGTTTATCTGGGCTCATGGTTTCACAGGGATAAAAGTCCGTCATGGTGGGAGAGGCGTGGCAGGAGGCAGCCAGAGTAGAAAGCTGGACACTCACATCTTCAGGCCAAGAACCCAAACTCAAAGTGGGCAAGGCTATGAACTCTCAAAACCCACCCTGTGATGTACTTCCTCCAAAATGTTTATACCTCCTAAGGTTCCATGACCCTCCCAAAACAGTGCCATCAACTGATCAACCTGGAGTCACAGACAGCCGTTAGCTGCCGTGTGGGTGCCAAGAACTGAACCTGGGTCTATCTGCAAGAGCAGCCAGTGCTCTTAACCACTGAGCCACTGCTCCAGGCCCACGAGAGACAAGCTTGGAAATCCCCTTATCACCCAGGTGGGGGATCGTCCGCAAAGGTGTCAGTGGCCATGGCCGGGAGGAATGCATCCTGTGGAAGGGAAGGGAAGGCTGTCAGATGGTCAGGACTCGGTGAAGCACTGGGTGTGGGCAGTGATGGGGATCTGTGAACCTGGGGGACACTCACCCTGTTACTGGTCCTGGGAAAGCTCAAACTTCAAGGGGAGATCATGGTTTCCTTTCCTGGAAGGATGAATTTGAAATGCCATTGAAGCAGTAGGTGTGCTGAGGTAGTGTGTGTGTGTGTGTGTGTGTGTGTGTGTGTGTGTGTGTGTGTGTGTGTGTGTGTTGAGGATGTACGGATGACTATAAGCATGGATGAACCTTTTCGTGTCAGATGATGACTGAAGCTATAATGAGAGGATGAGAGGAGAGGAGAGGAAAGAGAGAGGGAGAGGGAGAGAGAGAGGGAGAGAGAGAGAGAGAGAGAGAGAGAGAGAGAGAGAGCGAGAGAGAGAGAGAGAGAGAAGAGGAGATCTAGTACCAGGCTTTAAAGACCTTCATCACTTAATAGAAAAGATTGGGCCAGAAGAAGGAGGAAACGCAGGAACACAGAGTCACTGCCAAGGCAAGGAAGGTTTCCAGGAAGGAGGTGCTGGAAATAGGACCATGCTATTGAGATTAGCAAAGAAATATTCTTTTCATTTTTCTACTCGGTATTTATTGATTGATTGCATGCTCCAAACGCCCTTCTAGAAACCCAGAATGCAACGAATTAAAGAAGCAAAGCCTCTGCATCTGGATCTGCACATTGTAAATGGAAAAAAGAAGTGTCAGACCCACAGATGGGATGAGGGGAAGCTGGCGGGGTGAGGGGAAGCTGGCGGGATGAGACAGGGATGCCACTGTGGACAGGGTAAGTAGTACACGTGTCTCTGATACAGCATCTTCGAGCAGTTCCTAAATTAAGTGCAGGAGGAAGCCACGCTGAGTGTGAGGGGTGGCCTCAGCCAGGAAGACTGTGGGGAGGGAGTCTGAGGTGGGACTGGGCGGAGGGAGTTCAGTCAGGAGGACAGCGTGCTGGAGGAGAGGGTGTTGAATGAGAAGATTTGGGAAACAGCCAGGGATGAGGGAATCTGTGGGCCCGTGGCCTTCCCTGGGGCCAGGAGGGAAGGTCTGGGACACTCAGTGATATGACATGATGAGTCGCTTTGGGCTGTGAAGGAAGGCTGGGGTTTGCCGAGGTGGTGAGGAGCCAGTCTAGACAATGCTCTGAAGAAGGGTGGGAGATGAGGGGTGATGGTGTCTTCCACCCCTCTGCATTTGAACTGGGCACTTAGCTTCCTGGACCATGGGGGAGTCTTAGAATGGAACACTGAAGTCACAAAGAGGCCCTTCACAGGTAGATACGTGTCCTGCCTTCTCATCCACTGCATAGGACTGTGCTAGGGGCTGAGATACTTGTCTCCCAGTCCCCCTCTGGTCTCAGGTGTTCCCACTAAGTCCACACCGCCCCATGGCCTTCTTCATCGCCCCTGTAACCTCCTTGTTCCTCAGGCTGTAGATGACAGGGTTAAGCATAGGTGTGAGAACTGTATAAAAGACAGATACTACATCGTCCTGGCCAGGTGAGTGGTAGGAAGCAGGTAACATATAGGTATAGACAAGGGGCCCATAGAAGAGATTCACCACCGTGAGGTGGGAGGAGCACGTGGCCAGGGCCTTCTGACGCCCCTCTACAGAGTGCATCCGGAGCACGGCTGCCAGGATGAGGGCGTAGGAGGCTGTGATGAAGGCGATGGGCACCAGGAGGACCACCACGCCTGTCACAAAGAGCACCTGCTTGTAGGCCTCTGTGTTGGCGCAGGCCAACATCAGCAGGGAGGGCACCTCGCAGAAGAAGTGGGAAACCTTCCTGGAGCCACAGTAGGGGAACTGAAGGGTCAGAGAGGTCTGGATGGAGGCATTGAGGGACCCTCCCAGCCAGGAGGCCGCCACCATGAGCAGGCACACCTGGCGGCTCATGAGCACTGGGTAGCGCAGAGGGTTGCAGATGGCCACGTAGCGGTCGTAGGCCATGAGGGCCAGCAGGAGGCACTCTGCAGCCCCCAGGAACATGAAGAAAAACATCTGTGCCCCACACCCTCCAAAGGAGATGCTAGTCCAGCCAAAGAGGAAACCCACTATCATCTTGGGGACAGTGACTGACGTGAAGAAGATATCCAGAAAGGACAGCTGGCTGAGGAGAAAGTACATGGGCGTGTGGAGTCGGGTGTCTGTCCAGATCAGGAGGACCATGGCCGTGTTGCCGACCATGGCGAGGCCGTAGACCAACACCACCATGCTGAACAGGAACAAGTGCATCTGGCTGTCATTGAAAAGGCTTGTGAGGACAAAGCCAGTGGTGGAGTTCCAGTGTCCTCTGCCTGTCTCCTGCTGAGCCTCACTGTGGGGGGAAAAGGGAGCAGTTCACCAATGGCTCAGGCACAAATGTGCAGAGACAGGAAGGGAGTCTGAGGGAAGGCCACGAATAGACGCCCGGGAGTCTGAGGCAGCAGATGTTTGTAATGAACGCGTCAATAGGGAAGGGCCAATATTTCACAGAAAATTACTATTAAGGGCCAGCAAGGTGGCAATGGGGAAGATGCCTGGTACCATGCCTGAGGACCCGAGTTCAGTCCTCAGGACCCGTGGTGGTGGGAGGAAAGAGACTTCCACAAGCTGTCCTCTGACCTGCACATGTGCTCCATGATTCATTCTCTCTCTCTCTCTCTCTCTCTCTCTCTCTCTCTCTCTCTCCTCCCCTCCCGATAAAATTTAAAAATTACTACTAAGAATTCAAAGTACGGCATGTAGCTAAAGCAGTGCTCAGAGGGAAACTGCCCTCCAAACGTGCTGAGAAAGAAGACTGCAAACCAGTTGTTTAATTTCTCATCCTCCAAAGCTACAAACCCCCAAAATGCTAGAAAAAAAGCAGCACATTACAAAAGCTCCTTGTTTTATGGAATGCATGTAGTTAATGATATTTTCAGAGCTAAAGAAAAAGTAAAAACACATGGAGAAAATATTTTACGGGGTTGGAGAAATGGCTCAGAAGTTAAGAGCACTTGCTGCACTTTCAGAGGACATGAGTTCAGTTCCCAGCATCCACATGCAGCAGCTAACAACTGCCTGTAAGTCCAGCCTCAGGAGATCCAATGCCCCCTTCTGGTCTCTGAGGACACCTACATCGTGCTCACAAACTTAACACACACAGACATAGACAATGACACAGACACAGACACACACACACATACACACACACAAATAAAAATAAATCTTAAAAATGTTTTACTGAGTCTAACCTGAGGGCTAGATCCATGCGTATGTGAATTATATGGTTCAACATTTTTATTTACAGGAAGATCTGTGTGATTCTCTTTTCTTAGAAGTAGATGGGAGCCATGTATGGCTGGGAAGGAGGCATTTTGTCTCCTGCCAAAGCATCTAACCTCACATTTCCCTGTGGTTCTGGCCACCAGGAGACTCAGACTTGCATTTTCGTGCTCTGGCAGTGATTGCTTTTATGAGAGCTTTTGACAGTGTGCTCCTATCTTCATACTTTTGTCTCTAATCTTCAGCAGTTTCATGACAAAGCATCTTGTCTTAGTATGAAGAGCCCCCAGAACCTTGTCGATACACATTGGGCTTTGCTCTGAGTGTGATTGCCTGGGCCATGTAAGGAGTAAGTAAGGCAGTTGCAGTTGCCTCTTTGGGAGCGTCTGGAGCTCTGGATCCTCCATTCTCAGACTGTAATCATTCAGGTGACGTCTAATCTCAAGGAACATCTTAGGGAAGCTCCTTGGGGAAAGAAATCCCAAAGACAGCTTTCAGAGGGTGGGATGAGGTCAGGTCAATCACTCTGCAGCTAGGACAGGGCTGCCCAGCAGGCACATTCCTCCATCCATCATGACTGTTGGACCAAGGGGGTCCCAGCATCCTGCATCCCGAGAAATACTTTGAATTCTATCTTGTAGAATTTCTGGGTTTAGGTCTGATAGCAAATGCCCTAAATGGAATGACTGAAGGGAAATAAAAACCAAATGCCCAGGGTACCATGAAGGAGTTGTGGACATGAGAGGGTGCTGTGAATTCTCGGAGACTCAGAGCACCAGAGATGTGACAGAAGATGGCCTGAATCCCACACACTGGTGATCGTCACTCTCAGGGCTGAGCGATCTGAGTGGTTTGTTTCCTGATCCCCAAGTCTAATTCCTGAGACTGGCTGCTGGTTTCTAAAATTTAATTTGATTTAATTTTTGTGTGTTTTTTTTGAGACAGATGTCCTGTAGCCCAGGCTGGACTCAAACTCACTGTGTAACCAAGATGACTTTGACTTCTGATTCTCCAGGTTCTACCTCCCAAGTGCTGGGGTGATTGGCATGTGCCAGGATGCTGGGTTTTATGAGGTGCTGGGGATGGAACTAAGGCTTCTTGCAGGCCACTGGGCTACGTCTCCAGGCCTGACCGGTGATCTGGGTGGAGAACACTAACTAGAACTCTGTCTACATCTCGGTGTCTTACGGCTGGTGGTAGAGCTGAGACTTGCCGGGGTCCCAGGATTAGACAGCCAGGAGCTCTTCAGAAGCAGCACTTCTTGGAAGCCTCTCGGCTGTTCCGGCGATGCCGGGCCGCCCTGTCTACAGTCTTCAACCCACCATTTTCAGCCTGCTCGTGCTGGGCACATGGGGCTCTCAGTATTGAAGGAAGCCCAGATCTTGACTCTCCCAGAGACCTGGAATCTACTTCCAAAGCATGTCTCAGGAGCAGAGCATACGGCATCTGCTTTCTGTATTTGTGCTTGGACATCTTGAAGTTGTGTGGGCCAGGAGAGGGGTGATGCCTTTCAGAGCTAATTCCTAATGACCTGCTACCAGCATGCCTTTGATATGCAAACCATCCAGCCTGGAGTCTGTACCCCACGGACTTCTTGTATCAGGGGTTACAGTCTGACATACCATCTCCTTGTGCAAGGTAATCCTTGAGACAAGATCCCAGGCAACTGGACATGAACCCTGTTCCCCAGAGCAAGCCCAAATCATTCAAACTATGCAATCTCAAGCCTGTACCTTTGTTTACCTGCCTTGCTCATTCCTTCCCAGGAGGAAAATCAGCAAAAGTACATGGGGCTGGGTTGGAGCCACAGTCCACGCAGACCAGGCATGGTGGTGCACACCTGTAATCTCAGCACTTGGGAGGTGGAAGAAGGAGGATCAAAGTCATTTGCCTTGCTCATTCCTTCCCAGGAGGAAAATCAGCAAAAGTACATGGGGCTGAAGCTCAGTTGGTAGAGCACTTGTCTGACATACACAAAGCCCTGGGTTGGAGCCACAGTCCACGCAGACCAGGCATGGTGGTACACACCTGTAATCTCAGCACTTGGGAGGTGGAAGAAGGAGGATCAAGGTCATCTCTGGCTACATAGCGAGTTTGAGGCCAGTCTGGCTACATGAGACCCTGTCTTAAAAACAACGGCACACTGAGAGGGCTTTGGCTGCACTTTTTTGCCTTTTGCCTTCAGGTCAGCCCTGGTCCTCTCCCCTGTGGCTCTGTGCCTAACAGGCTCCCTCCTCTTGGGAAATGCATTAAACTGTCTTGTCAATGACCCCAGATCTGTTGTATTTGTACTAGATTAAAAATGAAATCTCAAGTACACTTAAAAACTTTCCCCTAAAGAGAATGAGATCTTTTGGCACCCTGTAAGCACAACGCATTTTGTGTCTCAGATTTTACATCTGGAAGGAACCCAGTCTACTGTCTTCGTTTTATTGATGAGCAACATGAAACTTGGTGAACAAACTCTGGACCTCTGAGGCCAGAGCTGGAGCCCTCACAGCTTGCTTTCAGTGGGCTTTCACAGCCCCAGCAGGTTGGTCTTTGGTAATTCTTCGTTGTGGTCCCCTGTAACCGCAGGACACTTAGTGGCATCCCTGACAGCACCCTCTAGATGCCAGCAGTCTTGACAGCCCCAAACCACTCTGTTTATTGTATTTCATTTCCCGCGGTTGTAGTCAGCCTTAGTTGGAAATCTCTGCAGGAGCGCTTCCTTTCCCTTCCCCTCTCTCCACTGAGGGAAGTTAAAAAGACATGGAGGTCACAGGTTTAAAATCTGTAATATTTTGGTTCTGACCTGGCTGAATGTCCTTTTCTGGTTTTATACAGATTAAAGCACTGTGGTTAAGTATAAGAGTAGGCTGTGTGGACTGAGCACCAGGTGCTACTGTTTCCCAGATATGCAACTTGGGCAGGCTGCTCAGCCAGCCTCAGGTTCGGCTCAAACATCCAGAGCATGAAGTGATGTCTATCTGCAGAGTGTGTGGGGGTCTGGCAGGAGGAATGCGCCATCTGAGTCAGCTGCTGTTAGCATCAGAATTGTCACCACCTGTGTAGCGTCTACACACTTCCCTAAAATGGGGTCCCCACGCTCCTTCTCAGGGCCATTGTGAGTGTTCACTAGGGGAAATGGGGAGGGTCTGCCTTTTCCAGAGCAGGTATGGTATGAACTCTTCACACAAGCAACGTAGGTTTGCATCACAGCCACACACTTCTGAAAAGTGCTTCTAGTCCCTCGCATTTGCAGATTTCCCTTCCCCAGGTGTTGTCTCCTGAAACACAGTGAGGGTGTGGCGGGGGCTTTGTCGTGACTAGGCAGACTCTGCTGCACAATGGGTCTCCCACACGGACTGCAAATGCCCTTCTTTACTTCTCCGCAGATCGGGCTGTGGGGACTCACGGTCAAAGCTGAGGGACCACAACAGCTGGGCTCCTTTGCCTGGCCTGGAAACGCTTCGTCATGGGCTTTCTTCCCTCGGTGGCTTCTTAGAATTGACGTACCTACGCACATCATGATTATGTAACATGGTCTGCCTGTGTGTGTGCAAGTATATGTTTGCATGTGTGTTTCTGAGAGAGAGAGGGAGAGAGAGACACACACAGTGCATGCATGAGCGCAGCCTGCATATTTAAGGTGCTGTAACTGACGGACTGACAGAGCCGAGAGAGAGAGAGAGAGCGAGCAGACCAATTACCCAGAGGATCGTTTCTTTCATACTATTCTGGAAGAAGATGAAGTTTTCTCTTCCTACCTCGTCTGGCATGTATGGATAAATTAACAAATGGCAGACAATTAAGTTGTACCAGAATGACTAATAAAGGGATTTGTGGGTGTGAACAGCACATTATATCAATGGCTCTATCTAGATCTATAGCTGTGTGTAGCTCGAAGTTTGATCTCAGTTCCACGTTTTTTCTATGATTTTATTTTTCTATTGTTCCATCTCACAGCTGGACTGATTTTCATCCCTCCCTCTGTCCCTCCTTCCCTCTCTCTCAATCGTAAAACACAGCCTTGATTTCAGATATTTGACTTATAGAAAAGGGCAATGTCTAAATGGTTTCAGACTATCAGAAACAT